TATAATATTATATATATAGTAAAAATCATTTGCAGAACCAGAAATAAGCTTTTCTTACAGAGAAACTTTATATGACAATTAAGAGCACATTATATTCTCACAATACCCTAGACTTTGCTATAATTGATGAGAGTTATACCTAAGAGGCATTTTAAAGGGACAAAGGTCTATTCACTAGCCTCGTTATCACTATGCTATCATGATAGAACAGAAACCTTTTAGCTTTCAGCAAGAAAAATAGAAATAGAACAGGTAGACATTCAAGGTTTCTAAGTTCTGGGGTTGTAATGTACAGCATGGTGACTATTATTAACAACACTGTATTATATCCTTTTTTTAAGTTGCTGAGAAAATGGATCGTAAATGTCCTCAGCCACCCAAAGAAATGATAATTATGTGAAGTAATGGACTTTTAACTAATCCTACTGTGGTAATCATTTCACAATGTATTATGAGGGTATCTCATTATCATGTTGTACATCTTAAACTGACACAATGTTATACATAATTCATATCTCAATGAGGTTGGGAAAAAGAAAAGAAATAATTTCTTTGAAATGACAAGAAAAATTTAGATGTCCAGTTCCCTTAGCAAGAGCTTAGTTAAGGCTTATTCAAAGAGTTAATCCAAATCACTCGGGTATGCCTATTTTCTTCCGAGAAACCAGCTACGCCTCTGAAATGGGTCAGTGTGCGTTAACCATTCAGCTGCCTTCTCCAGACACAGTCTTGGAAGCACAGGTGCTACGTGGATGGTCTTTCTGAGCGTCTCTCAAGCTCGGACAGGAACTTGGCAACCAGCAGGTCTTAGAATGGACTGCACTCTGGGCTTCAGGAGGAGCTATTTACAAAGCCTCAGTTGTTCAGGTCAAACAACCCAAACCCTCAATCCGGACGGGAGTGGGAGAGAGGAAGTATGGAACTTTGAGCTGAAGTAAGAAAGAATGTTTTTCCTTGGTTTCCATAAATATACAGTAAAAATTCCATATACCCTGAATAATGACAATCTTAATAATTTTGGGCTTTTTTAGGAATAAACCTGGATAATGGATAGGTTTGTAATGAATTATTTCCCGATATAATATGAACATATTTCTTCAATCAAGGGTTTTTTCTTTTTCTTCTATAAAGGATGACAGAAGGTGAATACACTGTCATTTCCTCTACAGTATGCTCTGGCTTTACTAGACTGTTAAAAGAAATACTATATTTTAAAAATTTTTTAACTTTTACAAACTCTAATATAGTTGAGGAAGGAAATATAAGGCAGCTGGTTTAATGCCCTCTTACAATGAGGAATCTCCAAAACACATGCTGGTTTTGAATAGTTGCATATTTAAGTTATTATTAGAAATAAACCTTTTAGTTGGTAAATTTACTACCACAAATCAAATCATGTAATTTTGTAGATAAAATATATATAGCAAACTAATAAAAAATGTCATGCTGCAATATTGTCTAGCCAACTCATTATTGTAGATGAATATAGGCAAACATTTCTGAGACCACTAGATGGCATTCATTCACTGTAATTTTGGCCAAATAAGGCCTTTCGAAGCTTCATCACGATATGCAGGTTAGGGGGAACACAAATGTTATCCATTATCTGGCAATATTTTCCGATCATTTAACACAATGGCAAAACTCTATTTTATAGTTTCCTTCAAATCAAATCAACAAATATTTATTGAAAGTGAAACAGGAATTTTAGGGGTAAAATAGGACAGGTTTAGGAAATTTTAGAAATTTTAGAAATTAAGGGGACCATGGAGGAAGCAAGCACAGGGCTGCAGAGCAGCAGAAGGTATATTTCCATAGAATAGGGAAGCTGAAAAGCTGCAACAGGTACATTTCTATAGAATGAGGGAGCTGGGACCAGCAAAAGGTCTATATTTACAAAATAAAGGGAAGGAAGCCCTTCATCCAGAAGAAGAAGAAAGCCCAAAGGGAATAGGAAAACAATAAGGAAGGAGGGTGGAACTGTATTTGGTTTTTGGTTAACCTTTGAGCCCAGGAGTTACTATAGTAACCAGTCTAAGGGAATAGTGACCAATCAGAGGGGATATCAAGGCACCAGGATCTGTAGCCTTTGTAAGCCACAGGGAAAAGGAACTCAGTGGGACCCGTCCCCTCTTCCCACTTGGGAGTCTGTACTTGTTCTTTAATAAACTCCACCTTTGCTTTACCACTTTCTGACTGTGGATTCATTTTTTGATTCTGGCAGACAAAGAATCCGTTCCAAAAATTACTTTGCTTTGTTTCATTGCTTTACTAATTCATGTTATTTCTCATGTAACTATTCCTCTAAAGGTTAGAAAAAGCACACCATCACAAATATTAAAATATTCAAATATTTTAGATGGAATGGCATTAATCCTCAAAATTAGGTGGGTGGGTGGGGAGAATTTATATGCAGGTATACATAACCCATGGCCACAGATAATAGTGTGGTGAATGCCTGGTGGTGGTGGGGGAGTGCAAGTTGGAGGGGTTAATGGGGGGAAAAGGGGACATCTGTATTACTTTCAACCATAAAGATAAATTTAAAAAATACATAGATATAGAAGAAAAATATTGATGTTTATGAAAATAGGAGGTCAAGAAATCTTGATGGTTCACAAAAGGCTCTTTCTATTGTACAGCTTAAAAATGTCTGAGAAATAGTGCTCCTTCCCACTTTGAGATCTAAACCAAAATGGCCTTTGTAATAGCAGATTATTATTTCATCTTGGAGATAAACCATAGAATGAAAACTTCCTAACTCCACACTTCAAACTAAACGGTTGGAAGAAGATATTGATGGGGACAAGTAAACCAAAGGTCAGCTTTTTTAGTACAAGAACTAGGTTAATAATAGTATAAAATCCAGGACTTACCTGTTCTAAGATGTTTTGAAGTCTCTCTATCTCACAGTCTATGACAAATTTCTTCTCTTGTCTTCTATCCAGTTCTTCTAGAAGTTGTCTATAGCTGACATCATTAAAATTTTCCACACATATAGCGCTGACATGCCAACCATTTTGTCCTGCTTTTTCCATAATAGCTTGAAGTATTGAATATCCTAGTGGGGAAAAAATACAGGTGGTTACTAAGAGCATCCTTTACTTCCCTTTAATTATGTAGGCAGTCACTGATTCTATACCTACATTTTTATGTTCCAAGATATACAGTGGATGCTTATAAATTTAAAAATTAAAGTGGTTATTTTCAAATCATTTTTTTGGCCTGGGACAACAAGATCCTTTAAAATAGTTCTTGAATAAAACAGGAAGTAGCAACATCCTTCTTTGAATAAGCTCTCAAAGTTTCTCTACTGAAGAATATTACATTGCTCTAGACACATTTTTAATAAGATAAACCAAAACCCAAATACAGTACCACCTGTAATCAATAATAATTTCATAGATGCTTTTTGGTAATTTTACACAATAGATAGAATTAATTTTGAACATATGTTTTGACTCTCCCTTTGAACAAGGTAGCAACAACATTTTTTGGTTCAACTACACAAGAGAAGATGTTAAAGGAACAATGTTACCATCAACAGTAAGATGAAGCATCTGGGAGTCTCCCCCATTGACCTAATGGCCACAGGGGTAGGTTCTTACACCAAGTGTGCAAAAAGATAGAAAGATGAATGCACAGGGCCCCAGCACAAGAAAGCTAGCAAGATAATTGGGTAGATAAAAAGTCCTCCCTCCTTATCTCTGTAAGAACAGTGGGCTTGAACAGGAAGGGGGAATGATCTTTGAGGTGAAAGTCCACTGTTCTCCAGGTTGCTACGCTTGAATAAACATCTTTCTTTTTGCACCAGCACCTGTTTGATGAGTTTGGCTTTCCTTGTGGCAGGCAGCCAAACCTGCGTTTTTGGTTATGACAATGCAAAAATATTTATGGAGGACCCATTATTGTAAACTAGAGGCCTGGTGTACGAAATTCATGCACGGGGTAGTGGGGGTGTCCCTCAGCCCGGCCTGCACCCTCTCCAATCTGGGACCCCTTGGGGGATGTCTGACTGCCGGTTTAGGCCCA